GTACAGACTTCGTGCCACCACCGGAAGAGCAACACAAATACGTTCAGACAAAGGTATTCAATTATATGTACTATTGTTTACAAGTATCTGTTTTATAAAATATTTGGATGATTTATCTAACAATACAAATAGATGCTATATTTAAATTTCGTCTTTCGAATTTTCTTTTGTCTACCGTACTATTTTATTTTAAGTACGAAAGAAACGAAAGTGAAATCTATTGTATAGAAACTGGTGCAAAAAGTACGGAAGGTACCGATCCTTCACATGATATGCGGTGAAGTGGATGGTAGCAGAACAGACTTGCAAGACGTTACTTTGTTTTACTTCCTGAGAACAACCGACGAGGGTGTACCAAACTTCGATTCTTACACAGATTGCGAAGAGGAGATTACGAGTTATTTGGTCGTTGGGTCTCTCCAAGGGAAGTTTCTGGTCTCTTTGAACAGAATGCTCGTTGAAGTAAGAAGATACTTTTATTAATTTTTTTTTTTCAGTAATTTTATAATTTCCTTAATAATTTACGACTATGTTGCCCAGAAATTTTAATCGGTAAAGTGTGACTTTACGTTAATTTAAACAACGCGCCAATAAATTTATTTTATTCATATCAGTATTGACAAATTACGACGAAGTTCCTCTTGTACAAATTTTTCTGTAAATTTTTATCATTTCGAGTGATTTTATCATGCCCATATCACGTTGTATCTTTTCAATAGTTAATTTTTTATTTAAATTATATCAACATCTCGAGTGAGCCAATTAGTGCAAAGTTTAGTAGATTATACATTGTATAACAAATTTTTGAAAAGCACACTTTGATCAAACACTTGTTATATATTTCTGTATTTCTTGTAAGACTTACGCTCCTCTTCTTTTTATGAACATATTTGTAATTATGAAATATATATTTCGCATACTTTGCAGTTATGAAAATTACTTTTTTTTTTTTTTTTAGGTGTTTAAACCGTTGGTTTTATCCCAATTCAGAGGACTGCAACTTATAGAAGCACCGAGAGAAGAGGAGCCTGACGTAGAGGAACATACTCCAAGTTGGACAGACATCATAGCAACTCGAGTACATAATATATTTTCTTTAATAAAAATTTTTATCTAAGATACTGAAAAGTGTTATACAGGTAAATTTTTAGTACTTAGGATTTCTATGGATTTATGCGAGAGTTTATTGAAGGTGCAGAAACTCGTAGAATATGCAAATATATGAAATATTCACAATAAGATATTATAATACTATAATGTATTGACTTCATTTATTATCGACAGATGACAAATAATAAATTCCAACCTTTTAAATTATCAGAGCTCGATATTCAGAAAACCGTCAGAATTTCGTAGAATATCGATTGTAATGGCGAAGAAAGAGGCTGAGGAAGCCGACGACGACGAAATACCATTGTCTAGCGTTCTTTCCCCGAGGGAGACCAAAAGCAGGATAAAATTGAAACGGAAAACCCGCAAAGTAGAGATCAGTTTTGACCGAGCTAGAAGGATAACGGAATCCAAAGTGCCGGAAATACGTCCGTCAATCGATCAGAATAAAAACGATATTCTGTCGTACTTGGATAAATTAATATCTGGCGTGGAATGGTTAGTAATTGGTAATTTAATTTACAGCTCATTGGTAGATTAAATTTCAGTTATTTATGGATTTTTACATGTTACACGCAATATATATTACTCTGTATAATTTCGCAATTTGAAATCTTTTGTGCATGCACATTCAAAATGTGACCAACGACACAGTATGTGTATTTAGCAGTGAAATTTTAAAACGAGCGAAATAAATTAAACTAAGTAAAATATTTCAGGGCAAAGTCCAAATATTTTCAGTTGTCCTGCTGTTCTTAAATGTTATTTAAAGAATTCGTTGCAACAAATAAAATATCCTATTTCTAAATTTATATTATTTTCTTTAATCAATCGAATTCAATGTAAATTTCAAATTAAATTATTTACCGATTATTTAAAGTAATATTTTACCCGGTTCTATTTTGTTTTAATTTATATAATGACTGTTAAATAATTTCATGTAATTTGAACGTGGGAAACAATACTTTACGACTTATAAAATCATCTGATAATTTACAAGAATATTCAATTTCAAAGAAAGTTGTTCTACAATTTTAATTGCCTACAAGTTATGTACTGAAGTATGAATTAAAAATAAATTAAATGAATTAAAAAAGAAGAAAATCAAGGGACAAGTTTTGCCATTGTTTATTAGGACCCTGGAACATATTGAAGGCGATATTTTGTTAACAATGCCGAATATACCGGAACTCGATGATCCTAACGTTACTGACGAGATGTTGGAGAAGAACACGGAAGTGATCGAACAACTAGAAAACGTGATTATGTCGTGGGGCGTGCACATAGAGAAGGTAAATGAAATTACTTTCAAGCAAATTGATTTCTGATATCTTGATAGAAATAAAAAAAAAAAAAAAAA